TGAGAGCCACTCTGGCCAGATAGAGGCAAACCACATATTGTCTTTTTCTTGATAAACACCTGGGAGGAATGACGATGAGGATGATAATGATAATGGAGGGTTGTGTCAAAAGTAGACACTAATGGAGAGAGGAGGAAAACAAATCAGAGAAAGGGAGAAACAACAAACGCATCAACTAGAAAAAATCGAGACAAAAACAAACTTGGCAATTTAAATACACCCGCGGCAGCACTGTGCTGTGATTCACACAAGGAATTGAGTTCATTTGATAATAAAAATACAACCGTTTAAGCTGACTGACATTTTTTTAATTTTTTACTTTGACAGGAAACGATTTTGAGTAACCAAGGATATATTCATTAATTACCAGTAGAAACAGAAACGTTTAATAAAAATGTATGAAAATAGAAAAGAGTTATGAAATTGGGGTGACAGGAGAAGAGGGGGTGCCCCGTAAATCGCGCAGCAAATTATCAACAGTGCTGATTCGCCGTGTTTTATCGCGTTGCAAGTAGGCAAGCAGTGACTTGTGTTCACCCAGTTGCAAAGTACTGAAGAGCACTTTTCCGTGGTGGTAGCCGACGTTCATAATTTCATTGAAGCTCTTAAATTGCAGTGTTTTGTAGCCGTCAATGGGCGGGCGAATGTAAATACAGTAGTCGGAGCTTTTGACCTCTTCCAGCTGCTTCACACAGCTGACATACGCCAGACGAGACTGAATTTCCGGCAGGTTAGGCACGCGTACTGGCGTCGTAAATGGATTCCAGCGCTTCCACAGCAGCCACCAGCCACTGAGAGTGTCGCCGTAATTGGTCAGGTCCGAGTCGTCCTGGCTGCCCACGTCAATGGCGAGAATGGTCTCCGCGCCCATGACGTCGTGCATTATGTCAGCTGGCAGGTTGTTCACATAGCCACCGTCCAGCAGCAGATGACCATCGACTGGATCACAGAGCGGGGGCAGGTAGCCCGAGAGTGACATGCTCGAGCGGACGTACCTCCAAAGTGAGCCGTGTTTGTGAATGCGCGGACAGCTGCTGGTGATGTCGGTGGTGACGGTAAAGTAGGGCAACCAAAGGTCCTCTATCTGAATGTCGCCAAAGACCTCGTAGATGGAACGGTTGAAGGCATGTCCGGTGAACATGGCCGTCGACGGATAGGTGAGATCGAGAATTTGCNCCTGGCACCACAGAGCGCCCATAAAGGCGCCAATGCTCACTCCTCCGACCATATCAATTGGAACGCCAATTTCAGTGAGCGACTTGATCATGCCCACGTGAGCTGCACCGCGTGCACCGCCGCCGCCTAGAACCAGACCAATGGAGGTGCCAGTGAGAAAGCGGGCCAGGCGAGAAACGTCAGAATGAATAGACGGCGGATTTGTCTTTATGATATTGCTGTAGTACTCCTGAATTTTGGAGGGAGCTCGCTTGGAGAAGACTCGTTTTGAGCATCGAATGTGGTGATTAGAGGAGCACCAGTCACGCATGTTTAGCCACTGAACGGTGTTCTTCGGTCGTGGACCGTCGATTCGATGCAGCAGGACTAGCTCCTTCTGTGTACGAATAGACAGATGCTCCAGCTGCTTTTCCACGTAGCCCACAGTAGGCTCCTGGTCGCCGAGGCCGACAATGAGAATGCAGTCCGCCTGTCGAATGCAGCGTTGCGTCCAGGTGGAGAAGCCCTTGTCGCACTGGTAGAGAACAATTTTGTGCTTGTCCTCCTGAATGCCCAGCCACGAGCACAGTCGGTACTCCGACTGACGATCAAGTGCAGTTGGACCAAGTGTCTTTTTCACACTCTCTGAGGTGAGCAGCGTCACAGAGCCGATTCCGGTGATGGCGTGATACAGTTCATAGGCAAAGGCATGCAGGGGCACATCGTCCGCGACGGACAGCAAGGCAACGGTGGAGAAGTTGGAGCCCGACGGTCGAGAGCCTCGCTCTGAGATCTTCACACTGGGACTGTGAATGTTTCCGATCAGTAGGCGATGGCCGAGAAGGTGAATGAGGCGAGTCACCACGACGGGGTACTTCACCTTGATCGCGTCCAGCAGGCCGTCGGGCAGCTTGGCCAGCTCAGAGTCTCGCACAGCCATGACAGTGGAGGAGCGTTGAGTTTTGGTGATCACCTCGACGATGCCCACCAGGTCGCCCTTGCCAAACTCGCCAACCAGCTCGCGTTTGCCGCTAGGGAGGGTGGCCACTGAACGAAGGCGACCACTGAGAACAATGTATGTGCAGTCAGACTTTTCGCCAGCTCGATAGATAGCTCGTCCTGATTCGTAGTGCGTCCAATCTAAGGCAAAGTCGATCTGGCGCACAAACGAGGACAGTCGCTGAATGACAGTGTGGGCCAGCTGTAGGGACACTTCAGGGTGCTTGGCCAAAATCTCCTGAACACTCTCCTTCGAGATGATGGCCACTTTGCACTGCTGACGAGTTTGAATTGTGAAAATGGGCTCCTCACCAGTCAGTACGCCAAGTGCTCCGATCAGCTCGCCAGGGTAAACGACAAACAGATTGTGATCTTCATCAGAGTCTAGTGACTTCTGTGACACCATAAACGAACCACTGAGCAGGAACAGCAAGTTCATCTCATCTCCGTCTTCTTCAGATACAAGCACACTGCCCTTTTTAAATTCACTTATTGAAACGTACTTCTTTAGCAGATCTGGGTCTTGAATTTTCAAGATGATGTTCAAATCATTGACAGCAGAGTTGATCAAGTCCTCTTGTGACATTCCAGTAGTTTTATCCTCAACCATGTACGCTCGACGACCTCTCATTTTGAACCGTTCAGTTTCAGGCGTTTCATTTGCTGTTGCATTCGCTTTGGCGGATGAGCTGGGTTGCGTTGAGTCGGCATTTTTAAGGCCTGATTCAGAGTCCACTTTAAGTATTTCTTTCAGGTCGATTGCATCGGCTGTGGAAAAAGAGCGAAAATGAGACGCATTTGCAATGTTTCGCGTAGGACTGTTTCGTATGGGCATGTTGTAGTTGTTCAGTGCACTACTATAGTACGACATTAGACGATCCTGAATGTCGAGATGAATTAATTGAGTTGTCAGGCCGAGATACTTGTGAAGAGAGGTGAATGTAACTCGCTGCAGTCGCACCATGATGATTTGTACAACGCGAATCAGCAAATCTGGATAGCTCTCGATTATCTGCTTGAGAACGTCGATTTTCAGGCGCAGTATGACACTGTCCTCAATTGCAAATGCTGAGATGGTTTTGAACTTAGAAACGTTGCCCGTGAGAACATCCATCACTGAAAGCATACTGGCAATCGATTCGCCAACATGAACGTTCTTCAGCACTAGGACAGAGCCATCGGGTTCGGTAAGGCTCACTTGAATCTCTCCAGATTGCACAATGTAAATGCTGTCATCAGCGTCGCCAATGTTGAATAAATACTGTCCTTTTACAACGTTGATAAACTCCACGTTTTGACAAAGTTTCAGAAAGAGGGGCTTTTCAAA